TGTCCATCCCTCCATACTCTCCTGCCCCCTGAGCTGTCTCCCTGTGCATCAGCAGCCCTTCCTTCTGATTGTATACCTGTTGGTGGAAATGAAAATGCCACTGTTCTGATGATTGGTGGTAAATATTTAAAGTCTTAATAGGTAGCATGAGAATACATAACTACTTTTGTCTTGTATTTCTCTTTAGATACAATGTTTAAACCTAAATCTAGTTGATTTAGTGTGTTTTTAAAAATTTGAACGTGAATAATTTTTTGTAAAGAATCTTGTTTGTATGCTGTGCATTTTTCTTTTGTTATTAAAATTAAAAATAATACATAATGCAATACAAATTCAACTGCCTAGATAGCTGTAGAAGAAGAGTGAGGCCCTTGCATACTCCCTTGCTGGAGTTCTCCATGGGCTCCTTGCACTGACTAGGGTTACCAGAGGTGTCCATGCTGAGGGTTCTGAGACCCTTTTCTAGGATGACTGATTATGGCATCATCTCAGAGGTTTAGAAATGCAGACCCCGAAACATAACCTTGAAATTAATTTGAAAAATTCAACTGTGAATGTGATATAATGAGATTCTCCCACTGTCATCTGGAATCAAACAAACTTGTTATTCCTGGGTATTTAAAAAAAAAAAAAAAAAACTTAAAATATTTTCTTTGATCAAGGTGAAAAATAAGCATAGACAGTTTTTCTGTAGCTTTTCAGGTAGTTTGAGACATGGATTATTCTCTAATACTATAGGGGACTGTTAATACTTTAAAAACCTTACACTTTATTGAAACTAGAAAAATATTTAAATATCTTTCTGATCATGTCTTGACTAATGATATGGTTCAGAATCTTGGACTATGTCTTCTTATGTTATTATATCTTATATGAACCATTATAGTACCACTAACAAAATATATTTTTACAAGTTAATAGTATACTTTAAAATCTCTCATTAAATTTGAGTAGCAAGTCTTAGAAATTGATTCTAAATATTAAAAATACTTTTTTCTATAGGAGTGTGAATATGACTTAATATTTTAGTATTATTTTAACCATGTTAATACTGATTTATACTGGATAAGCTGCTTTTGTTTCAGGGATGTCCATGGAACACCTGGCACCAAAGGACCAGGGAGTATCCCCCTCCAGGACCAGCACTTGGCCCTGGCCATCCTGTTGGAGCTGGCTGTGCAGAGGGGCACACTGAGGTAAGAGTGCTACAGGATGCCAGTACTTTAGGGAGGTACCCTTACATCCAGTAAGCTGTTATGATTTTATGTCCTTGCTTGTAATCATTGGTGACTATAGTAAATGCATAGTGGTCTCTATTCAAAGGCTCAGCCCACTCTTTGTTTCAAAACTAGATCTAGTTAGATTTTCTTTACTTCCTTTTAATGCCTAGAACTCTAGTAATTTATGAACTTTTTTTTTCCCTGTAGTTTTCTAAAATAACTATTTTTATTCCATTAATTTAAGGTATTAGAAATTCAGTATAGAATTAACCATTTGAACTTCTTCTTATAGACTGTGGTATTATATTCTTTATACACAGCTGGCCAATATTTCATGCTAGAATCTTGGTACTTGTCAGTGAATTTTAATCTCAAGGATTGTTTCCTGTGACAGCATTTTAGTTTCCTTTTAAGTCCAGTATATCTTACCAGTTTTGTTGAGTTGCTTGCTTTTATTTTTGATGGACCATGGCAAAATGCTAATCTGTTCTTACTAGAGAATTTTTTTTCTCTTTTAGCCAAATGTTATCTGCCATCATGTTGTTGCTTCAGTTGTGGGACAATGGGGCCCAGGAAACTGACAATGAGCGGTCTGCACAGGGCACCAGTGCCCCTCTGCTGCCCTTGCTACAGAGGTTTCAAAGCATCCTTGGCAATAAGGACATGCTGCCTCCAGAGGCTGATGTTCATGTAAGCATCCCGTGACATTCTGGGTCCAAGTGATATGCTTCATTTTAGTTATTTTAAAATAGGGGGACACCTGTAAACTAGACAGAGTGCACGTCCTTGAATAGCGTTGTCTTTTGGGGTTTGTATATGTGGTCCAATAAGGCAGATATGGCAGGCCATGATGTGGATTCAGCTGGTGCAGTGGAATGTCCCATGAGCATGTAAGGATTCTTTACTGTACTAAGGAGTGGCCAGAGCCACTGGAGTCTGGTGGCGTAGTATCTAAGGCATTTGACGGCTAACCAGAAGGCTGGCAATTCAAACATACCAGCCACTCCTCGGAAGGAAGGGTGGGCAATCTAATTCCGTAGCGATACTGCCTCAGAAACCCAAGGAGGGGTTGCTTTGAGTTGGACCCAACTCGATGGCAGTGAATTTGGTTTTTAGTTTTATGTTTTATAGAATAAATTTATGTGTTGACATATATATCCACTTGTAGTTTTAGAGAGCCCTTTCTACTGCATGTTGAATGTGTGGTTTCTTTCTGCTATACTAGAGGAGTGTAGCCCTCATGTGCACAAGGTTTAGTGCTTGTCTGCACCCAGCATCTTCTTTAGTGTTCATTTACTGTGACAGAGGTGATATTTAGATGTTGTGGAAGGTGTAAAGAAGGCATGCTCACTTTTGTGAAGGAATTATTATTAGAAGAATGAAGATGAATAAAACCCATGATCAAGTGCAAAAGATGAGACTCAAGTAGCTCATCATTGATACTTGCAGCAGATGGATAATGTCGGGAGGCTATGCATTGAGTTGTGAGAAGTATTAGCACGTAAGGATCAATTAAGTTGTTGTGGTAAGGCTTAAAGGAGTGATCTAACATGAAATGACCCTTAGTGTACATGGAAAAACACACATCCACCTATCTTACTGTTTCATTTTGAGAATATGCCTAGGAGGGTCAGGTAAGCCTTCATCTTCCACCATTCTGTTTGTGAGGAAGAATCAGATTGGTGAGCACCAGCCTTGCTATCAGCACAGAACCAAATCTGAAATACACTTCAAATATATATTAGAAAAGAACATTTGAAGTAGCAGCTCACCCTTCTGACTCTGCCTGTGGACTGTCCCTTTTGCAGAGAAGGCCCTGCCCAGGTAGCAGCTGCTCCAGCAGGCTTAAAGGCCACCTTGGCTCATTCTAGCCTGTGGGCTCAACCTCTCGGACTGCTGCTCTTTATAAGTAGACATTTAATTTTGCAAGTCTGTTCTGGAAAGATTTAGCCATTCCATTATAACGTTTCAGCCTAATTTATCTGTTATGTGGCAGAATTGAACAGTGACTTAATTTGGAAATAAAATTCGTTTTTTTCCAGAGTGGGCAGCATTTCAATTAAATAAGCCGTTTTGATTTTGGTTTTTAAAGTCAAGTTGGGTGCTCTTTGTGTCATCCCAGAGCATGTTCTTAAAGGTACTGGAGGAGGCGTGGCCTGCAGGATGATTTGGGCAGTGTTAGTAATCCATGTGGAGTTGATACCGAGCATTCAACTGAAGTGTGGTATAACAGATGTACAGATATATGGTAATTAATGTATAATCAACACTTATCATTTAATATCCAAACTAAATAGATTTATAAATACTGTATATAAATTCCAAAATTATAGCTAATTGTGTTATTTTAATTTTTCCTATTATTTCTCAAGATGTTTGCATGTATTTCTTACCTAGTTCTTAGCTGGCCCTCTGAGCCCCAATGAGAGTTTCCTAAGGTATCTTACACTACCACAAGACAATGAGCTGGCCATTGACTTGCGACAGACGGCAGTTGTTATCATGGCCCATCTAGACCGTCTGGCAACCCCGTCTATGCCTCCTCTGTGTAGTTCTCCAACGTCTCACAAGGTATTTACTATGGTAGTCTTTATATGTTTTATAATGAGTAATTCTAGTAGATTGTCATTCTGTCCTTTTTTGGTTCTTGGTTTACTATGAGACTGGGGGTGGGAGCTGGTTTAGAGCTTTTAAAAATGTCTACAGTGGTCATAGTGAATGACCACATGTCTGTCTATAGCTTTAGCACATTGGAGCCATACTTTGGATGGTGTCTACTGTCCCCTGGTGTGATTCTTGGTTGTAGCAGCCCCCTACGCAGTCTTGTGGTGGTAGTGGTGTAAAGTTGTAGGAAGCTCATCAAGCTCCGGGCACTGTGCACTTCCTAAGTGCTCTTGGACAATCTTGGCAACCTAATTAAGCAGGTAGGGCCAGCTGAGGCACACAGGGGTTAAGAAACCCACCTTGTGTTGCAGGCTCTATGTTCAAGGGGCGTTTAATTTACCCAGAGAGTTTACCTTTATCTAATAGCCATAAGGAGGTTGCAGCATCTCTCATTCACTAGAAGCTCTGAAAGTGGGCTCTCTGTTGCAAACTGCTTCTAGTAGTAATGACTCTAGTCTAGTGATGGTAGGGGTGAGCATATGTGGGATGCATGTGTGTGTAGGGTCACTGGGACCTCACATACCAACTTACTTGGCTATCTGTAATGTAGTTTAGATGGTGGTTAACTGCCAGGCTCACACAGAGTAATCCTGATTTTGAAGGTTTTCCTAACTTTATTTTTGATATGAAGAGCATATTTTTTTAGTCATTAAAATAATAATATATTCATATGGTTCAAAATAAAAATGATATGTAGAGACACACTGTGCCACACCCAAGTTTCCCTACCTGCTTCTTATTGCTTCTTTAGTTTTTTATGTATCATTTCTGTGTTTTCTGGAATGAATATTTATTCTTATTTTTTCTTCTTTCTTATATTAGAAGTAACATATTACGCATACTTTGTAGCTTTTTTTTTTTTTGTAACATTATACACTGGGGATCTTTCTGTATAAATATAGAGAGCTAATTACTGTTTTTTTAAAAGTAGTTTAGTATTTCATAATATAGTGTGGCTATATCATAATTTTCATTTTTTAACTAGTCTCCTATTGGTTGGTGCCAATATTTCGCTACTTAAATAGTGCTACAGTGGCTAATCTGGTACATGTGGTCCTTCATGTCTGTGTGTGCATATGTTCTCCTTTGTGACACATGAGTGTGTGTATGTTTACATGTGCATGTGTGTGAGCGTGTGTGTGTGCGCACACAGATAGTGATAGAGAGTAGGTTGGTTGGGCAAGTGTGTTGAATACATTTGATGATTATTGCCAAGGTGCTTTGGTGTTACTGACCTCTAGTCACATTCATAGGAGGAATACTTGTCTCTCCAGGGCCTCACTGCAAGCGGAGCTTAGGCCTCTGGATTTTTGATTCTTATGGTGTGAAGTGGTAACCTGGTTTAGTTTGTGCATTGTCTTTTTTTTTTTTTTTTTTAAAATGTATTTCTGGTTCATATGTAGTGCTTACTACTGGGCTTTGTTAAAATGAAGTGCTATGGAAAAATAACCTGTTCAGTTCCTTCATCTTGTGTTAACTGGGGCTTTTATGTTTAATATAGAAAGTTACGAGTTGTTTTGATGTTTTGAATCCTAGGTCCTTTCTTGTTTATTTTATTGTTGCTTATAATATTTTATTGTTACCGCTGGAACAAGTTGCTGTTTGGATTGAGAAAGAGATTTGTTTACTGCTATAAAGAAAATGTTTATTTTCTTTCAGGGATCATTGCAAGAGGTTATAGGTTGGGGTTTAATAGGATGGAAATACTATGCCAATGTGATTGGTCCCATTCAGTGTGAAGGCCTTTCCAGCCTAGGAGTCACACAGATTGCCTGTGCAGAGAAGCGTTTTCTCATCTTGTCGCGGAGTGGCCGTGTGTACATGCAGGCCTACAACAGTGATGTGCTGGTAGGTGGTTTCAACTGGGCCTGGTATTTTTGTAAGGGCCAAGCATTCCTCTCCTGAAGCACAGGGGGTAGCCTGTACTTAGTCAAGCAATTTGAACCTCTGTACTGTGAGTGTTAGGTGGGTGGAGTGGAAAAATGGCCAGCCAGCAGTAGGGTAGGGTTTGTTAAAAGTGAGATGTGTAATTGAGATAAATCATGCTATTTTCTTTATTTTTGTACTGATTACTAATTTTCCTTCCTATTTTTATTCTTTTAGGCCCCACAGCTGGTCCAGGGTCTTGCCTCTAGAAACATTGTGAAAATTGCTGCACATTCTGATGGCCACCATTACCTGGCTTTGGCAGCCACTGGAGAGGTTTACTCCTGGGGCTGTGGGGATGGGGGCCGACTAGGCCATGGTGATACTGTGTACGTATGGTGCTATTCTTTTAACTGACATGCACTCCTTTATGTTGCTATATCTGAAATAGAGTGGCAAAAAAGAAATATTTTTTGAAGCTGCTCTGACATACATAGCATCCTTGGTGATGCTGCGAGAGCTTTCCACAGTACAGTGAGATAAGTTGGCTTCATGTTCTCCTCCAGCTTCAACAGCTGCTAGTTTTTCGCTGTTCCTTCTTTTCACATGGCATCTTCCGTGATAGTTTTCTAAAACGAATTCCACATTGCTATGATTTCATTCATAAATGTTTCAATATTCTTTAAGAGATGAGGTCTCCCTGGTTTTAAACTATAATATCATTATCATAGGTAGTAAAACAGTTTCTTAATCTTATTTTACCTGTTGAAGTTTTTGATTACTTAGACCAGAAATAAACAGAAAATGGTTATATTAAAAATGTAATACTGACTTTTTAGTGAAAGATTTGACAGTTCCTGTGAAACGATGGGGATCTTTTATGCAGTGCTGGTGTGTTTGGAAACTGGTGAAAAACCTTTGCGTTAGGTTGAAATTGAAGATCAAGCATGTTCTAACCCAGCAACCCCAATTCATGTGCATCAGAGATTTATACAGGAGATAAGACAGCAGCAGGGTTTGAAATGATCACTTTCTGAACACTGCCCACCTGTCATTTCACAGGTGAATGGAAAACCACAAATGTGGTAAAAAGGGGTTATTAATATGAAATTTAAAATTGTTATTCTCAGACTAGGAGGGAGGTGAGATTGTCATGGGCACATGTGACTTGAAAGGTGTTGTAAATGATCTTCCCATAGAAGCTAGGTTCAGCTTTTGAACCTTGTTATCTGATTTATTTATAAATTTAGTATATATAAAATATTTCATAATATAATAGCTGAGCTAAGGTGTTAGAAGGAATAACCTGTTTATTGCCTTATGAGTTCAGGGAAGAAATTCAAGACATCAGTTTATATAGTAGGAGATGGAGAGAGACTTTGGGGAGTTGAAATGAGCTGAAGCAAGAATGAGAAAGTTACTGGAGTGGAGTCATTGGGATGTGCATGTGCCTGTGTATGTGTTTGTTTATTTTGCAAACTTAGTTTGTCACAAAGTGAGTAACCATATCTTTGGAGAGGCTAGAGGGGGTTTATGTGGATACTTCTAAAAATGTTATCAATAAGAATAAATATTCTGATTACATATATAGGGTATTTTGTTGATTTCTTCAACTAGTAAGACTTTTTTTTTTTTTACCCAAATGCTTACTGTGTCACATTGATAGTGAAATACAAATTGACCGGTTTTATAGAGGTTTACATATAATAAAGTTCATCAGTTTTAAGTGTACAGTTTGATTCATTTTGGCAAACACAGACAGTTGAGTGACCACCACATTAGTGAACATTTCCGTTGTAGCTAAAGATTCTTTGTACACCCTTTGCAGTCAGTCCCTTCTCCCCATCTCCAGCCTCTGTCAATCACTAATCTGCTCTGTCACTATTATTTTGCCTTTTCCAGAATTTAATATAATAGAATTATACAGTATATAGTATTTTATTTGTGGCCTCTTTCACTAAGCACAATGCTTTTGAGATTCAACCATGTTGTTGTATGTATCTGTACGTGATTCCGTTTTATTGCTGAGTAGTGTTCCATTATATAGATATATCACAGTTTATTTATTCATCAGTTCATTAACATTTGGGTTATTTCAATTTTGGACTGTTGTAACTTAAGCTGCTATGAACTGCCATGTACACATTTTTAACATTTTTTAAACCCTGTTGGATACCATGGTTGGCATTGGATAACTATTTAAGTTTAGATATGGAGGTGTTAGATTTTTGAATTACATAATACCTCAATTCATAGGACATTTCAAAGTAGAAATAATCTTGACACAATGATAGTTTATTCATGACAGTGAATTTTCTTTGTTAATAACAACAGTGCCTAGATTAGCAGCTACATAGATTCTTTTTCTCTCCACAGACCTCTGGAGGAGCCTAAGATGATCTCTGCTTTTTCTGGAAAGCAGGCTGGGAAGCATGTTGTGCACATTGCTTGCGGAAGCACATACAGTGCGGCCATCACTGCTGAGGGGGAGCTGTACACCTGGGGCCGGGGAAACTATGGCCGACTAGGCCATGGTATGTTTGCTGTGTGAGGACAGAGCATATGCTGGGAAATCACCTCATATGAGTGCCTTGCATTAATGACAGTTCTGTCTGTTTGAAGGCTCCAGTGAAGATGAGGTCATTCCAGTGCTTGTAGCTGGGCTGAAAGGACTGAAGGTTATCGATGTGGCATGTGGGAGTGGGGATGCTCAGACTTTGGCTGTGACTGAGAACGGTATGTAGAGCACACACCACCCTGAGCAGGCTCTTGAAAATATGGTATGTCAGATGCAGGTTTGGACCATAGTGATCCTCAGGATCCATCTTGCCCAAGAGATCATTTTCCATTAAGTGGTAGTGGGTTTTAGTGTTTCTTGTGAAGTGGTTTCTCAGAGAAGTTAAATGCCTTGGCTTTGCCTAAAGCTAGACAGCTAATTAGTGGTTACCACCCTTCCTATTTTAGCACTTTTTCACTGAAAATGAAAGTTACAATAGAATGATAACATTCTAAAACCTAATTATTATTATTACATTTCCTAATGTTCAGCCACCTTGATTTCCTGTGGGGAATGCTATTTATTCTGGGATATTCTCATGTGCTACATTATTTGCTTGTTTTTAATTTAATTTGCTTGTTTTTAATTTGGTGAGATTGTACTGATTTTCTTTTTAGATTTGGTGGTTAGAATCACATTTATATTTTAAAATTGTATTTGTAAATATAGTAGGGTGGGTCCTGTCTGTTGGCATCATGGGGCTCTATCTGTAGACATTGAGAGGTCTATAGGCATCATGGCAATCTGTCTGCAGAATCACGAGGGTCTGTCAGAATTATGGAGTGAGTCTGTTCCCTGGCATTGTGGAAGTCTGTCAGCATTGCCAGTGAATCTGTCCTCAGCATGGTGTGGGTATTTGTTGGTATTGTGAGGGTGTGTCCATTGCCATCATAGGGTTGTGTATGTTTGCATTTGGAGGTCTGTCCCTTGGCATTTTGAGGTTCTTCCAGTTCATCAGCATTGTGAAGTCTGTCCATTGACATTGTAGGGGTCTGTCGGCATTGTGAAGGTCTGTCATTTGGCACCATGGAGTCTCTCCATAGCGTTTTGCAGGCCTGTTCATTGTTGTTGTGGGTGTGTTGTCCTCAGTGTCCTTGAGGGTCTGTTGTTAGCATTGTGGGGTTCTTTCTCTTTATTGACATCTTGAGGGTTTGTCCATTGGCATCATAGGTGTTTTTCTTCAGTATTGTGGGCTTCTGTTTCTTGGCATTGTATGAGTCTGTCTTTTGGCATTGTGGAGGGTTTCTCCTTAGCATTGTGTGGGTCTGTTGTTGGCATTAAGGCCTTCTGTCTGTTCACTGGCATGCATCATGGAGTCTGTTCATCAGCATAGGAAGTTATCTGTGTTCAGCATTGTGGAGGTCTGTCTAATGACATTGGGAGGGTTTGTCTGTCAGAATCAGCTGGGGAACCTCTCTACGTTCTTTCACCCCCAGATGTTCAATGGCAAATTGAGAATTAGGTTATGAAACTCTTAATGAGGAACTTTTAAAAAACCAAAAAACAAACGTTGTTAGGACATAGACGTGGCATTCTTTGTGTGAAACTGCTGCTGTGAATAAAGCTACATGATGACACAGTGAGTACATCGCCTTGAATGGAAACCATGCAACCTCATACTGTTATTTCTTTGGTGCATGTGTTATAGGGAAACGATCCTTGCTAAAATATGTTTTTTGAGACTGGTAGTACTGTGGAAGCCTCCTGTCATGCTAGGTTGGATTTGAGGTGATGAGCTCTCCCTGAAAACATTGGTGAAAGTGAGGGACCACCAAACAGGCTATGTGAATAATAGGTGTTTTAACTGAAGCCATGTTAACAGTACACCTTCTCCAGTCTTTGTGTTTGGGTCTGCTAAGTTGAGCATTGGAGTTGTTCTTTATCTTTCTTTAACCACCCTAAGAGTATAGTATAGCATCTACAGTTACCAATTTAGCTCAGGTGTTGGCCTGTTTCTGCAAATGGAATTGTACTGGAATAGAACCATGGTACCTTGTTTTATGTATTGTCTCTGGCTGCTTTCATTCTATTACAGAGAAAGTTGCAACAGACACTGTTTGGCTCATAAAGCCTTAAAAGACATCTAGTCTTTTAAGAAAAAGTTTTCTGATCTTTGATTTAAGCTATTTAAAATAGAATGGGAACTTGGACACTTACAGATCAATTTCAGCACTGAATCCTGATTTCTTTTCTCATTTTTTACAGTGTTTGCCTATACCTAATTTAATGTTTTTGTTTTGTTTTTAAGCAGCTCATTTTTTTTTTTTTTGTTTTTGCAAAGTATTCAGCTTTGTTTTCACATTAAAAATTTAAAGTGAATTTTATCCACTCACCTAATATTTAATTGCGTGGAACATGCATTTGCAAATTGGCAATCCTGTTCTGTGCACAGTGCCAGTTGTGCAAACCAGTCCAGGGAGACTAATATCACCCTCCCTCTGACACCAGTTTATGCTGGATAACATATCTCACACTACACGTGTTGTTTGGAAATCTTAGCTTTCCATCCCCAGCCAGTCCAGACCCCATTTGACTTACAGCCCTTCTATCTTATTCCTAGCCATATAGGGATCAGTCAGCAGATACTAGCTACAAGCACAGAGGTCTACACAACTCCCTGCACCACAGACTCACCAGACCCCCTGTTCCCTTTAGGTCCAGTGGTTCACCAGAATGACCCCCAGAGCTCACCAAAACATCATACCTTCAATAACAACTTTTAATATAATAGAGGATATAAATGAACAAATGCATAGGGTGAAGTCCAGGAAGGGTCCCAGCATGTGATCTCTACATCTTAAGGGGACCTACTAACCCTCTCAAGAACAGATGTTCATTCCCACCAACCAGGAAAGTCTTAAACCTGGAAATGCCCCATGATATCTCTGTGGAACAGAAGTAACCCCTGCCAGTGCAGCTCTTGAGGTGCTGACTGGTACAGCCATCATAGAATTCTACTAGCTCTTGTACAGTTCTTTTCTTGGTCAGGATAGCCCTGCTGTGCTCTTCTCTCAGCTTACCTCTTTTTCAGTGCAGCTCTGTGTTTTGCTGTGCTCCCTCTCATACAGCACTTAATTAATGGAGAGTTTTCATCTCATAGCTTCCCTTTCCAAAGGACCCACCATCCCTCCTGGCTCTCATTGACCTAGAAGCCCCATCTGAGTCTCTGTGTCCAGGTTTTTTATAAGCCAGTCTTTGTGCTCTTTTGTCTGTTATTGGTCAGACTCCTTGTCAGTTTTGAGTGGAGCTCCTGAGCCAAACTGGGCAGAGGTTAGGGTTCTTGTCAGTAGTTTGGGTTGGTGGGGGGTGGGCACCTCCCTAGTGAGTCCTAGCAAAAGTAACAAGCCCTCAAAAACACAGTCCCTCTAAGGTCAATTTCCAAAAACCAAGAGAAAGGCTGCATAAGGGAACTCATTGCATCACATTAATTAAATTTCATGATTCCTGTGATGAATACAGTTGAGAACAAATATGGTCATACAGTTGACTCTTGATCAGCATAATTGTCTCTGAGCCTGGAGCTGTTGCCGTGCTGCGAGTATCAGGTGTTATGTTTTATGGAGGGAATGGAGGGGATTGATTTTGTTACTTATTTAATTAAAACAAGAAGGCAATCCACCTTTGCATTTCTTAATTGCTTATGTATCAACTTCATATTAACTAGATTTCATTCACTTGGTCTGTAATACTCAGTGTTAACTATAAATATTGGTGTTCTAGATTTGTATGCTTTATTGAATGTATTGATTATTTTCAGCCATTTAAATTTCCATTAATGTATACTGGCTTTTTTTTTTTTTTTTTAAACTTAAATTCATTTGTATGTTTTTAGGTCAAGTGTGGTCTTGGGGAGATGGTGACTATGGGAAATTGGGCAGAGGTGGTAGTGATGGGTGCAAAACGCCAAAATTAATTGAAAAACTCCAAGACTTGGATGTTGTCAAAGTACGCTGTGGAAGTCAATTTTCTATTGCTTTGACAAAAGATGGCCAAGTTTATTCATGGGGAAAAGGTGACAATCAGAGACTTGGTCATGGAACAGAGGAACATGTTCGTTATCCAAAACTATTGGAAGGCTTGCAAGGTGAGTGGAAAATAGGTACTGTTTTTTAAACACTTTGTGACAGTTTCTTTAGTCATCTGTTCAAGTTGGCAGATTTTGTTTTTCTTTAATGGAATGGACTATTATTAAAAACTTCTGTTCGCATTTTGCTAAGTATAGATAATAATTGAAAATTGATTTGTGTATATATTTAGAAAAATAACTTAGAATAATCCTTATCAAATTTAAATAAAAATCCATTCAATTTTTACTAGTATTTTAGAACTCTTTTTGTGAAAGCCATTCATTTATCTCTCAGTAAGATAGGCTTGGTGAGATCAGCTATTGTTTCTGTAGTCACATGAAGTTACACTGTGGAAATGCTAAGACCATGGATATGCATGGTGCTGTTAGAATACAGTAGGAGGTAGCATTGAGTCCACCTGAGTTGTCTCATTTGAACTTGGGTTTGATAGGTGAATAGAAAGTCGAGGTGTTCAACATGCATTTTAAGTTAGAGCCAAGACACATAGATACGATTTTCTCTGCCTCTGCCACGGTGAGCCAGTCAGTGCAGTTAAGAGAAGGTGGGAACATCTTCAAGAAAGACTTGAATGATGAGCTGAATGAAGACCCTTGAGCGCTATCATAGTATTCTTATTATGGATGTTAGGCTGCAGCAAGTAGGGATCATCAAAACCATGATGCTTGGGCTGTAAGAAGGATTTTTTTTATTGATGGGGGTACTGGAGTTTTCCAATCAAGTTGACCTGTTGGTATGCTAGGCATTCTCTATCCCAAGGGAGAGTTCATGAGTTTGTGAAGAGCCGAGTTAGAAGAAAGCAGGGAGGAAGGGAGAGTAATAGATTTGTTAGATGGAGCCTTTTTGTTTAGTGTTTAAGGGGTAGATAAACTTTCTTATAAATCTTTTGGGTTTGAACACTATACTCTGTCTCAATTACTCACTTTGCAGTGGTTGTTCAAAAGTAGCCATAGACAGTATATAAACAAACATATGAACTGTGTTCAGTAAATGTAAACAGGTCTCACTCTGCCTTTGGCCTAAGGGCTATCATTTGCTGGCTTCTTGCTCTAATAACATTCTTCTTTCTGTTTTTGCTTCTTTATCAAGAGTTTTTGGAAGTGGGTCTGTTAAATGGGACTTGCGTGCCTCTGAATCATGCATGGCAGGTGGTTTGATTTTTATGTTTACTGGTTCTTTCCCCCATTATTTTCACTCTTTTCTTTTATCCCCCCCCAAGTATGTTAATACCTTGACTAGGAGTTGAATGTGCTCAAATGGTGATTACTGTTTTCCAAGATTCGAGTTACATTGTAGAGTAATAGCATTTACTAGTATGTTATGGAACTGTATTTGAATTTGCCTTCTTGTTTTTGTTCTCCTTCGTTAGTAAGGGAAATCAACTCCTTCAGTTGTGTTTGTTGATAAACCTTACTTTGAGACTGTTTCAAGTATTATTGATACTTTTTGTCCTAAAAACTTACTACAGGCTCTTAGGATAGAATTGTTCCATTTTACTGTAGTAGACTTTTTAGCTGAATTATTTTCATGATATATTTTTGAGAAATACCCATTGTATTAGTTGTATTAGACTTAAAAATATACTTTGCAAAAATACACTTTGCTAATAACATTATTTAAATAGAAAAAAATGTTTACATTTTTATCATCTGACTTTGGGAGAGAAATAGATTTCCCTTTAAGAAAATGTCCTCAGTAAAGAGTGTACTTTTCATGGTTGTAGAACAGAAGAGTGTGGTCTGATAATTAAAACTACACTTTATTCTTTATGAATAAGAATCTGAATGAGGAGGAAAAAAAAAAATCACAAGTCCTTTCCATGCCCTAACATTATTTTATTTGCAAGTTGTGAGTCTTAACACATTGTAGTTGGGAAAATACAATAGGAGTTTTAATACCACACTTGAAGTAGCTTGTCCTTTAGTAGTTGATACTAAATGCCTACTGACTTGAATGGCATTTAAAATGAAAATGTTTCATTTCAACAGAAGTGATAGAATTGCAACTGAATCTGCATCATTCTTTGTTTGTAGGGAAAAAAGTGATTGATGTGGCTGCGGGGTCTACACACTGCCTTGCTTTGACTGAGGACAGTGAGGTCCACAGCTGGGGAAGCAACGACCAATGTCAGCACTTTGACACCTTACGTGTAACCAAACCAGAACCTGCTGCACTGCCAGGTCTGGATACAAAGCACATTGTTGGAATTGCCTGTGGGCCTGCCCAGGTATTGGATGCATGATGTGATTTGGTAGTTTTTAAAATTTTGGTGTCCAGTTTTTCATTGCAAGTATATAGAAATATGATTGAGTTTTGTGTATTGATTTTAATGTTCTCCAGCCATAGTGAAGTTACTTAATAGTTCTAGGAGCTTCACTGTAGATTTCTTGGGCTTTACTTCTTAGGTAGTCATGTTGTCTACTGATAGAGACAATTTTATTTCTTCCTTTCTGATACGTATTTTATTTCTTTTCCTTGCCTTATTGCATTGGCTAAAACTTCTACCAATAATGTGTTGAATAAGAATAATGAAGAGTGGTCATCCTTGTCTTATTCTTGATCTTTGGGGAAAAGTGTTTAGTCTTTCCCCACTGGGTATGATGTTATCTATGGATTTTTTTATAGCTGACTTTTTATGAAATTATGGAAGTATCATTTAATTCCTATTTTTTTTTTTTTTATAGAGTTTTTATCTTCAGTGGATGTTGAATTTTGTTAAATGATTTTTCTTTCTCAGTTAATATGATTAAGTAGTTTTCTTTCTTTAGTCTATTAATGTGATGGCTTGCATTGACTAATTTTCAAATATTGACCACGTGTTGCATTACTGAGATCATGGTGTATTCTTTATATATTGCTAGATTTGATTTGCTAATGCTTTGTTGAAGATTTTTCCGTAAGTTAAGTGTTCATGAGTGATACTGGTTCATAGTTTCCTTTTTTTGTACTATCTTTTCTGATTTTGGTGTCAGGGTAAAGATGGTGTCATAAAAAGTGTTGGCAAATGTTCTCTCCTCTTTTATTTTCTGAAGAGATTTTACAGAATTGGTATTTCACCTTTAAGTGTTTGCTAGAATTATATGAAGCCATCTGGGCCTGAAGATTTCTATCTCAGTGGCTTTTAATGACAAATTCAATTATTTTAATACAGGACTCAGGAGTCCCTGGGTAGCACTATAGTTAAGCACTTGACTCCTGGCTGGTTAAACCCATCCAAAGGTGCCTTGAAAGATAGGCTTTATGATCAGCTTCTGAAAGATCATAGCCTTGAAAACTCCATGGAACAGTTCCACTCTGCGTACATGGGGTCACCATGAGTCAGAATTGACAACAAATAACAACATAATATAGGACCATCCAGGTTATCTATTTCTTCTTGGGTGGGCTTTCTTAGTTTATGGCATTCAAGGAATTGCTCCATTTCACTGAAATTGTCCAATATTTTTGTGTAAAGTTTCCTTTAGTATTCCCTTGGTACCCTTTTGAAGTCCATGATCTGTAGTGGTATCCCTTCTTTCATTCTTGATACTGGTAATTGTGTCTTTTCTCTACTTTGTCAGTTTTGTTCAAAGTTTGTCAATTGTGTTGATCTTTTTAACAAATCAGATTTTAGTTTCAATGAATTTCTCTTACTGATTTCTCTTTCTTTTTCATTGATTTCTGCTCTTATGTTCATTCCTTCTCTCCCCACCCCCCTTCAGCTTGCTTTGGGTTTATTTTGTTCTCTTTTTCTGATTTTGTGAGGTTGAAAACTAGATTATTGATTTGAGACCTTTCTTCTTTTTTAGCAAAGAAGTATCTGATGCTATAAATTTCCCTCTAAGCAGTGCTTTAACTGCATCTCACAGATTTTGATATATTTTATTTTCATTTTATTATCTTTCTATTATTGATTTCTAGTTTTAATTTGATTGTGGTCACAGAATACACTGTGTTATTTCTTTTACATTTGTTCTTACTTGTTTTAGTGTTTTATGTTGCAGCATATGTTCTTTCTTGTTCTGTGTGTGCTTAACAAGAATATGTATTCTGCTCTTGTTTTGTGAAAATGTAAATTGTAAATGTCAGTTTGATATACTGTCAGTCAATCTGATGTCTGGTGTGCATTAGAAATGTCAGTTCATTGAGAGTAATATATTCAGTTCTTCTAGATCCATTCTCAATTTCTGTCTACTTATTTTGTTATTAGAAGGGTAGTGTTGGTTTCTCACATTATAATTGTGGATTTGTCCATTTCTCTTTTCATTTCTATCAGTTTTTGCCTCATGTATTTTTAAAGATGCATACACCTTCTTCTTGGTGAGTTGTAATTTCCCTCTGTATAACTAGTACTTTTCCTAATTCTGAAGTCTGTTTTGCCTGATATTAATATAGTCAGTTCAGTGTTCTTTTGATTACTGTTTGCATGGTATGTATTTTCCCATGATTGTACTTAAAACAAGCAAACCCAAAACACTCACCTTTTTATTTTGAAATAATTATAAATTCACAGGATGTTACAAAGATAATAATGAGAGGTTCCTTGTACTTTTCAACCACCCATTTTCCCCCATTGGTTACATCTTACTTATTTATAGTACTGAGGCAGGACACACCCAGTTTCAAGAAAATGAAACTTAGAGAATGGAAAGCCCCTGATAACTACGCCCATCCTCTTGCTGTCCCCGACAGGCACTCCCTCCCTCTTGCTGCACTTCCTGCTTCTGTAAAACCACCCTGCTTGCGTTTTTCAGAAAAGAAATCAACCACCATATACCCTCTGTACTCCGGAAATATACAAAAGTCCTGTGTAACCTTTGTTCAGGGCTTAGTCTCTGGATGTCAATCCACTGAACCAAGTGTCAACACAATAAAGTCCTTCCTTTACCCCATCTTGCTCAGTGATAGCATTGCCTTTGGTGGCTCTGGCAACATTTTTGGTGCATTGGCTGTGAAACTTCGACCTCAGCCTCCTCCAGCCGCTCAAGTGACTGGTAGCATGGCTATTGTTGACCCCAAGAAGCTGGCGGTCTGGGCCGGTCCTTGATCTGGGGAAAACGACCTGCTGAGTGCACTGTTGGAAGTTTTGCCACCATGTGGGTTGTTTGTGCTGGGGTGAGAGCTGGCCCTGCCTCTGACTACGGGGACCTAGCAGGAGAAGGAATGACCACCTTGTGGGACATCTGAACCATGGTAGGTTACAGGGGGGCCCCACAGTCAGTCAGTCAGCCTACCAAGAGGCAGAAGGGGAGCCTGATCACCTCTCAGGGCAATTCCGAGTATCGTCCAAGTATCAGTGATGAGAAACCATGGTCACCCACAGGTAGTACAGGATTTTTGGTACTGGTATATGTACTGGTGCGCCAGCGCACGTGTGTGTGTGTGTGCGTGCATGTGTGGATGTGACTGGCCAACCAAGACTGTATGCATTGGAAAGCTGGGGACATATGTTGAGCCGTTCTTCTAACTGGTGGCAAATTTCATACAGCTAAGGGTGATGAGTCTTCTGCTAAGTTGGTGAGGTTTCTGGGTCAGGGGCTTATACTGACTTGCCAAAGCTGAGAGGTGCCTGAAAGATCCTTACTAGAGAAACTGGAAGAGTTCTGCAAAGTGACTGGTGGCTACCCTGTGCTGCAAATAGGTGGGACTCAGAGTCAGGAAGGAGCTCCACTTCAGATCATGTTTAAAAACTTCAAAAAAGGATTCATCATTCAAGATTATGGAATAAAAATGCAACCAGGAAAACTTAGAACCCTTTGTGAATTAGAGTACCCATTTTCCAGGTTGATTGGCCATTAGGGGGATCATTAGATAAGAAAACTACCCTGAGAGTTTGGCTGGTAGTAACTGGGAACCCCGGCCATTCCCTAATATAGACATGTGGCTTCAATTGGTTACAAATCTGCCTGCATGGCTTTGGGAGCAAGTTAGCTGAGTAATGGTTTCCCAGAAAACTAAAGCATGGCCTTCTACTTTGCCTGAACGCTTGAGCCTCAACTGTCCTTCAAGGGGCACTGGAGGATCTGGTGCCCCCTCCTTGTGTCCCGATATATCCATCTCTGAGAACCCTCTGATCACAGATGCCATCCACACCCCCACCAGACTCTACCACCAGCCCGAGGCCTGCATTTCCATCCAGGACCATCATTGGACCACTCCACCTCAGTCCATATACCCCATCACTTCCCTAAGCCATGCAAATGCTGCTCCAAGAGATTAGGGCACCCACTTATGTGGACTTGGATGGACAGGTCCAAGTGGGACAGTGCACTCTAGTTTATCAAGAGTTTACCACAACTGACCACCTCAACTGGAAACATCATACCCTGCCATACACTGGGAAGCCCCAGTCCCTAACAGACCTCATGCAATCCACCTTTCAGTCCCACAACCTGACCTGGGTAGATTGCCATCAGCTCCTCCTCTCGCTGTTCAGTGCTGAGGAATGGAGGTGGGTATTACAAGATGCTGCTCAGTGGGCAGACGAGACTTCCCAGCAGGAGTTATAAATGTACAGATGTATGCCCAGAGATAGCTCCAAGATGAAGATCCACACTGGGACCCGAATGAGAGAGAGGAACCCGAAGACCTACTGGGAAACACTCCTGCAGGGGCTACGGAGAGGAGGTCAGCTGACGATCGACATCAACAAGGTAGTGGAAGTTCAGGAGGGCCCAGTAGAAAGCCCCAGTGCTTTCTACAGGAGACTTTGTGAAGCCTACAGACTCTATGCTCCATTTGACCCAGAGAGCTGGAAAACTAGTGGATGGTCAACATTGCCTTTGTGAACTGAAGCACAGGAGATTTCTGCTGAAAATTCAAACTAGAAGGTTTGGCAAGCATGAACTCCACCCGACTTTTGAAGTAGCAAACAAAGTCTTCATAAACTGAGACCAGGAAGCAAAACACGAGGCAGACTGGTAAATGAAGAAAAAAGCAGACCTCATTGCATTGGCACTCATCCAGAGCAGACTGGGCCCACCTAATAACAGAGGAAAGGGAGCTGAGCAATCAAAGAGAAAACCTCCCCTTGATCGAGACCAATGTGCCTATTGGAAGGAGAGAGGACACTGGAAAAATGAGTGCCCACAGAAGAAAAATAATAAAAGGGGAAAACCCAGGCCACCGAAGGAGACTGGTCTATGCAGCACTACCGAAATGGAACTCTTTGAGGATTGAGGCAGACCAGGTCTAGTTGCCCTCCCCAAACTCATGGTCCAGCTTGTGTTGGGGGGAGAGTTATGGACT